CCACATATTCTTTACTAATTTTCGCACATAGAATAACTTTCTTTTCTGTCACTAAATTCAAGCATACTTGATAATCATTCAAACTCAACGAAGTATCATTTGGAAAAATTTTATTCCTTTTTCTCCTTTATTTTTTATTTCTACATATAGAATCACATCGAGAACACCCTATGTAAGACGGTTACAGCCATCTTTTCTTTTCAAAAAATATAATCTATTTGTTCTTTGCGATGTTTATAAAAATATTTCAGTTTTCTCGAAGAATATTTACCCTCGTGATTGAAGTCGCAATAATCGTAATTCGGGAGGCACGTGATTATCATCGAACTCGCGTGTGGTTTTCAAATAGGAGAAGAAGATAGTTTTCTTGTTGGGGGAACACTTTCGAAACAATTTCTCTGATAATTAAATGAACGTTTGATGTTAATCTCGGCGAGTCATACTGGCCGTAAGCAGAGTCGCGATAGTAATTATGTCAACGTAATTGGATGATACCGTTTTATTTTACGCTCAAATCGTAAATTACTTTAAAGCATTAGAGGCTTTATTATCGTCGGGGATCTATTGAATTCAAAATTGAAAATATAATCAGCGATGCGCGTGATTTTGCGAAAAGATATTAACGGAAGCACGGATGTGAAAAGTATTGCGTGCGTGTAATACATATATTTGGCATTATTTCGCGTAGGTTTGCATGGAAACAAATCGTTTGCTTTCTATTTAGGTTATGGGAACTTGCATAAGGACGCGCATATAAATCAATTAGAATGTAATTTTAGAAATGTTTTTACAACGTATAGTGAGCCCCACTAATATTTCAATAATAAATATTTAAACTGTTATAGTTTTATAAATCGTAGAACAATAAATTTCAACTCGTTTTAACGCTTGAAGCCTCTATCTTCCAAACGCAACGTTCGTTTTATTCTATAATATTTTTACACCACGTAATGGGTGGGCAGATAATTTTCTTTTTCGAAAATACTATAAATTATCATGGTACGTAAAAACATTGAAAAATTTTGTTCATGACTGAACCTACAATAGATTTAGAGATTGAAGCCTCCTCGTTGCAATGTCTCCGGAAAACTTAAAGTATAATCTTTTGTCGCCATTTTATTGAAGTTTGAATATTAAGCTCAGATTCAGATTCAAGAAATCGTACAATTTTCGTCGCTGTATTCGTTTTCTCTTAAGAAACTAGCGAACAAAAATGTCGTTGAAAATATCGTTGTAAAGAGAAGATTTTCATATTCAAATCCATTGTAGTTCCCAAGTCATGAAAGAAACTTTTCAACGTTTCTACACACTATGACAATTCGTAACATTTTCGAGGAGAAAAGCGTCTTCACTTTGCCATCTGTTACATCAGCGTGAGCATCTTAGTTCTTAAACGCGCTTATTTGAACGAATGACTCATTTTAAAAGCGGAAGTTTCAGAGTTTGAAACGAGTCAAAGTTTGTCACCATACGATTTCTTTTTCGAAAATTATAACAGTTTTTCAGTATCTATTGTTCGAATCTTTAAGCGATCGAATGATCACTGTATAATGATTATAACAAGCCCTTACCCTTACCAACTGGTTTGTTAACCACTTGCGCTGGCAACTGACAATAACGAGTGACCATACCATATATAATAATTCGTCGCATTTTTTTCAAACTCGTCAGTATGATATCACTGGATAAAAATTATTGAGAAGTGATAAATTTATTATTTGTTTTGCCTAGTTTGTCTTAAGTATACTTAAAACTGAGAAAATATTGCAATTTTGGAACAAAAAATTCTCGACGTGCGTGGCAACTGATTGCGGACCATAACGAGTGGCCAACCGTATGCAATAATTCGTGGCTCTCTTTTTTAAACTCGTCGGTATGACATCGCTGCATAGAAATTATTGAGAAGTGATAAATTTATTATTCGTTTCGCCTATTTTGTTTTACTTAAATGTGTTTTACTAAATTGTTTTACTTAAAACTGTGAAAACATTGCAAACATTTGAAAGAAAAAATTCTCGGCGTGCGTCATTCCAGCGCAAGTGGTTAAGTTTGTGAAGATGCGAGATGCGACCGCTGATCGTATCCACAGATCGTAGAAAGAACATTCTCCCCAAGGTAATTCCCATTCTGGAGATTAAGAATAGGGGCATAAGGCTGCTGTAGATAGTCGCTTCCAATTAAGGTTTTACCAGTATTGGTGGGGTTCCGCTTGAAAAGCTCCATGGATTCCAAGCCCAACGTGGATCTATACCTGTTCGTTCGTTGCACGTACACTTCTCTAAGAACGTCCTTGCCTACGTTCGCTTTAATAGCTTCCCCCAGGAATTGTCGAAACATCCGTTACCTAATTCACGTTTAAGAAGACCGATGGCTGAGACAACGTCAAAGAAAATTAAAAAACGTGTAATAAAGCCGGTGTTTAAACGCGGTACGCGCTTTGCATTTCACCGAGGGGAGACGATCGATTTCAATAGTACGGTCGATTTCATTGGGCGTTCTATTACGCCTATTGAATTAGGCCAGTTGACAGGTTGAGTGCCACGCGAAACTTGCACGTTTTGTCCATTATTCAGACAAAAATACTTAGTTTCTGCAAGATACTATATAGACAGACACTGCGAGATACTGCAAATAAAATACAATGAAAGCGTGTTTTTTTTTTTTTCTAGTTATTTATGTCATTTCAAAATTCTCTGTTAATCACTACCTAATTGATTATTTCCAAATTTTTATAGAAATAAGATGGTCACCATAGTCGACGTATTAATCGGAATAATTCTAATTAATACGGTCAAGAAAAGATGTTAGCAATTAATTAATTACAATGAGATTGTGCGTGCATTGCATATATATACACGCGAGTATTCGTAAAAACACTAGATTCACGTTAGAGACAGGTATTGTGGAGAGAAGTAAATCCTCTTTCGGTTCAGACTCCCGGGATTATGGGAAACATCCCGGATTAGGGTAGTAGATGGTTCGAGCAATGTCATATCCCTGAGAATTGCTTTCCTACGGATGTGTTTGATGGAGTCGCGTTCGTAATTACGCGTCGACTAAGCATTAAAACGGGTAATTGAAAGCTCTCTTCGAACCAATGATTGAACCGATCGATAGCGATTGTCTTCCGATCGAAACGCCAATCATTCGATTTCCACGGAACTTCGTCTTTGCTTAGCGGTATTTTCTTAAACGTGCTACAACGCGGACAAGCGCCGCGCGAAAAACGATGTACACCGGTGAATATTAAAAATTCGAGCGATCAAAACGCGCGTAACACGGGCAAAAATGCAAATTACACGTCGCACCTTCAATGATATTAACGAACGCAGCTGAACGCGTGCACGCGTCGTCAAAGTGCGACTTGTATGTAAATACATCACGAGTTGTTTATAAATATGCCACCAAATACTTTACACCGCGTGTGTCATATATTTCCTGATATTTCACGGCTGAGCCGCCGTCTGTTTCAGAGGAACCTCGTTACTAGCTTCCACATTATGACGAGTAGCGTAACGTTCCTGCATGTGCACGAAGCTCTCTCGCGAGTTTTGGTGCAAGCCGTATTCAACTCGCCGTTTTGTCCAATCTGTTTGAAAGTCAATTTCCCGCTATCCATTTTTCCACTTACCTTTCTGCTCGCGTAACGAGCAATTTGAATGCCCGGTAACATGTTTCCCCGCAGCAATTTTCAAGTTCTTACGCGAGTTTGTACAAATCGGATGTCGTCGAGAGACAAGTAGCGAATAATGGAAATAATAATAATAATAATAATAATAATAAAAACAACAACGATAATAATAATGGTGAGCAATTTTGATAAATTTCGGAAAACAAAAAGAGACAACTCTTCGAAATAGCGGCAACGGAGAGGCAGCGCAGCGCGGCGAATGTCGGACAAATTGAGTAAGTTTCGTGGTCGGCATGGTCAAGAATGAAAATTACCCTGGAATTAGGGTGCACTAATGGCCTTCGTAATTGATATTGGACGCAAGCGTAGCTTACTCTCCTTCTCTCATTGCCTGATATGATACACGCTGTTTCCTATACATTGTTAGCGTAAATGACCTAAATGCTTTTAACGCCTATCCCACCATCACTCGTTTCCAACCGTAAATTACTTCGTGCTCTGCCTCTGAAGGAAATTAATAAACATACAGCGTTGGCATTCGGACGCTAAACAAGCGTTGAAGCTGTTGTAATTTTATTAAAAAAAAAAATCGTGCAATAACAAACTTGGATTCGTTTCAAAGTACGGAGCCTCCATTTTCCAAATGCACAATGTTCGTTTTGCTCTGAAATGTTTTTACACTATGTAATGTAACAGATGAAGAGGTAAAGATACTATTTTTTTTTTGAAAATGGTATAAATTACCATTGAAAATTTTTTTTGTAAATGACTGAATCTACAATGGATTCGAAGTCTCTTACAACGATCCCCGAAAGCTTGATGTGCGGATTCTTTTTTCTTTAATTTATTAAACTTTAATATTTCTAATTTGCGTTGCGACTGAATTTTCGTCGTCTAATATTCAAAATTTAGTAAAAACGTGAAAAGAAAAGTCGTCGTGAAGGGAAAGCTTCAAGTCTTCAAATTTATTTTAGATTCTGTTACGAAAAAAATTCTTCTTTTTACAAATATTATGACAGTTTATAGTATTTCAGAGAAGAAAAATATTTTCACTTAGCCGTCCGCTACGTGAAGTAAAAACATTTAAAATAAACCAAAGTGAATTATTGTGCGATTCTTTTTTTTATAAAATTCTAACGATTTCAATATTTAGGTATTAATATTAACGTGAGTCACTGTATATGGACGTATTAATGCAAGTATTTTCATTTTACTTTATTTTTCTTCATTTTCTGCATCTACTTGAATCGACCTGCGCTAAAAAAACGAAGAGTCAGTCGCCTAATAATGGACACGCAAAAAATTTACAATAAATAAAACGGTGAATATCGAGCGCGCATTTGTATTTAATGGCAGTTTCTCGTTGCAGATTACATGGATGAAGCGTAAAAACAGACGGTTGTTAACTGTTGGCACAAGTACCCACTCAGTCGACAAACGATTTGTCGTGATGCATTCGAGTACTGATTGGTTACTTCAGATACGAGCAGTCACTCTTCAAGACGAGGGTATATACGAGTGTCAGGTATACTCGACGATGTACATATCTATGTGTAATAAAAGGCACCCTTCTTTAGTACGATAGTGCTTCACTCGGTTGCGACATTGCAACATGCATACCATTTATTCCAACGTAAAACAAGGGCAATATTTTAAATTTACGGCAACGTATCATAGCGACTTTTATGGAACGTTCCTTTTCATGTACAAAACGGAAGAATATTTTCATGATAAAAGACGTGTAACAATTTTAGTACGTACAGCAATGCCACGCTCGTTTAATCATACAGAGTTCAAACATTTTCTGCATGCTAAATGATGTCGTATGCTAAATGATCACCTCAATTTGAAAGACACGACTCGAGGTCACAGCTGAGGTTATTGATTGCCTTTGATCCAATGATTCCTCTCCAAAGAGCGTGAAATATTAACCGGATATTGTCGCAATAGTGAAACACACCTTGATACTCTTTTTTCTCTGTGACAAAAAAAAAAAAAAAAAAAAAAAAAAATACTTTGAAATACTTCTCGAAACAGATCCTCCGAGAATCATAGAAATTTGGTCAAAACGTTTGTTAAAGGTCGTTCCCAGGGCGACCTAGAAACGTTCACTCGATAGGTAGGAGGCGATAATCGAGCCAAATATCCACGAGGCAACTATGCGCGTTGAAATTTCAGGTTACGTCGCATCCGGTGCAACGGAATTTCGTGCTCTTGAAGATCACAGAAGCGTACTCGATCATACCGGGAGCGCCTGATTTACATGTGAAGCAAGGCTCGAGCCTTCGGCTGGAGTGTCAACTAAAGGCAGCCGCGGAGTCGCCCCTTTACGTCTTCTGGTATCGCCAGGGGCACATGATCAATTACGACGAGGAGCCAGGCGTGAAAGTCGAGCTGACCAAGAACGGGTCGATTTTAATGGTCAACAAAACGAAGCCGTCGCACGGCGGTAATTACACGTGCTCGCCGAGCAACGCTAAACCGGCTTACGTAATGGTTCACGTGATCGAAGGTGAGCGAATTGACGTAACGTAAAACGTAATTTGTGTCTTGTCTGAAAGCCACTTGCGAGAAGAATTAACACGTCGACTGTCACGTACATTTTTTATGATGCGCTCAGGGGACCACAGTATAAATATTTCCATTATTCTTAGCATATAATGGTAAAATATTAAACAACGTGATGAAATAGAATCATATTCTTGTCAACGGTGTGTTTATTTCGCCCGTGACCACCATGGAGCGCTGCAGTGCACTCAGTCATTCTTATTAGACAAGTTTGCTGAAATTACCGCTATGAATGCTTCGAGAATTGCGACTCAATTTATTTTCATAGTAAAATTTTAAAAATTGGTTTAAATAAGATAAATATCATGAACTAAAAAAGTTAGTAGCACGGGACTGACGCCACCGTAGCAGTCAACGTGTTAATAATTGGTCTCGAATTTTCGGTTTTGTCGGAAAGAGTCTCGAACAACACCGGTGACACGTGTGTAGTAGGATAAAACGAAACGTTTCACCTTACGATCAAGCATCGATATTTCAAAAGTTCAATAGACATTCAGGTAAGAGCAAGATTTGACACGGTCCTGAACGTTTCCTCGACGCGTGCCAGTGTTCCAGAAATTGTTGTGCACGTGATCGGACTACGGGGGGCGAACATTGCACGAGGGACTAAGAAGAGACGAAGCTCGTCTCGTCTGAAGCTTTAGCTTCTAGCGTCCGACCGTTCGAGCTCGTTTAAAACGTCGTAGTCGCCCTCAGGGGTATTTTACTGCTCCTCTGCGAAAGTGTTCTCTCTCTCTCTCTCTCTCTCTCTCTCTCTCTCTTCCTCTCCCTCCGTAGATTGGGACGGCCACGTCTGGTCAGGCTCTTCCTCTCTCATTCTAGCTCGGCCATTTTCGCGAAGAGAGATTTCTTTTTGTAGCTATCGAGTCAGAGTTTCTAATCTTGTTTCAGAGGAAGAGAAACCGGCGGCAATGCACGGTGGGGACAGAAGGAACCTTAGCCCAGCAATTTTAGCGAGCAACTTTCTGGTGTCCCTCATGACGGCCGTCAGCTGGAGGATACCGAGTTTCACCAGCCTTTACCCGACATGAATCACCGTCGAATTTACGGTACGGGGGACGACTGGTGTTAGCCGTACCCGTACCACCGCAACCCGGTCCATCTTCTTCCGCAAGGATGAGTCCGACGATCGGTCGGTCGTTTTGGGATTCGTCTTTTCAACTGTAACTCCGATCGATCCCACGAGGACGACATCCTTGCACCGGCGTCAAGCACCAGCGAGTGTATTGGTTCGCGTATGAACACATGGAGCCGCCACCCACTTTTCGGACCGATCCTTTTACGTGTAGCGCGATTCCTTTCATCCATTGTCCGCCGCGGAAGAGTAACCAGAGACTCACGGTCCCCTTTTCGAAGGGAGCCGGGTTTGTTCATAAGGGAAGAACTCTGGCCACCGACAAATCCTTTTGTTTCACTCCTTTCTGTCTTCTAACCCTTGTCTTTTGTCCCCTTGTCCCCTTGTCTCGTTCGTCCACGTTCCCTTGCTGTGTGTCTCGCGATTTCTTTTTGCTTCGGAGAGGAGAGAAAGAAGAAGAGAAACGAAAAGGAGAGATGGGCGCCATCGGAAATATTCATTGCCACGATGATTATTCCTCCGGTTTCTGGAATTGATCTAGAAAGCACACGCGAAGTAAGACGCGTTTCGCTTGTAACTCGCGGAAACACAATGGCGTACGATGCTCGCCCGAATAAAAGGTTCCTTTCTCCGTTTCTCCTGTTTTCTGTCGCGAAACGATAGGAACCCGTCTGATTCGAGGATTCTCTTTCACTTGCTCGCATCTGTCGTTGCGCGCGATGAAGTGAATCGCTCTCTTCGTACGTGCATTATACGTACATATATGAATGAACACACGTATACACACACACACACACACACACACACACACACACACACACACACACACACGTTCCTCACACACGCGGGAAAAATATACGTACACACACGTATACATATGCAGTAGCATGTAAGCAACACCGTGGACTCGAGATGAACAAGCGCCTTTATGTTTCGTGACGTGGAAACCTCTTCTTCCTCCGATCACTTCCTCCTACCTCCCAATTCCATACGAATCTTCGATATCACGTGTTGATGGTTCATTCGGATTTTATCGGAATCCGAATCGAGAAGAATTCACGTACAGTGAATCGATCAGGCCGCAAATAAACTCGTATCGACGGAAATTCGTGACGGACGTTCACGCGATTCCGCGTGTTACCGCGTGTTCATGTCGGGGTAAACGGAATCAATGTAAATAATTACACTCTAATTATACATTCAATAAAACATTAATCGTAAAGCTATCGGTCGATAATTTACTCACGACTCCTGTCTCTGTTTCGTTGCGTCGTGACACGACGCGACGCGACGCGACGCGACGCACATTGAAAGTAACTGTTCGTCCAGACAACTTTGCCATTTGTTTTCGTTGTTTTCGATGGGTAAACGACGAGGCAGGAAATTGAAGGTAAAGTAGCACGATCACCATGAAACAAACGACGCGAGGGAAAAGTTATTTCACGAAACTCCGAAGGAAAGTTGTGGAATAGCTCCGGCCCGATAAATGTGCACGTTCGCCTCGCGTTATCTATCTCTCGAAGTCTTCGAACTTTACGCGAGCTTTAACACGCCAGTGGCAAACGTTATTACGAGAGCCTTCGTTATCTTAGCTCGGAATCCTGTTAAAACGGATTAATTCAACCGCAAATTCGGTTGGGGAAATATCGAAATCCGCTAGGGGCTGGAAGCGACGGCCACTAACATTACCGTGGCCGCGAAACGAGCTTCTAAGAGCGCGGTTCCAGACACGATTAATCGATAAGACTATCGAACGTGAAACCGCGCGCGTTTACTCGCCGATTCTCCCCCTGTTATCGAACCCCCCCCCCCCCCCTCAGTCGAAACTTTTCGACGATTTCTTCGGCCTGGATAACGCGCGACAATTTTTGAAAGATTGTTCAGCGTGGGTGGAGAGTAGCGCGACGATTCGTGCGGCGGAAGACGATACCGCGGGCAATTAACACGATAGGAACTTAATTTAGGTTGTAAGCGTTGGCCCGTGAGCTGATATTCTGTGCCACGTCACGGGAGGATACCGCGTATCTCGCAGCTTTTTTCTCCCCCCCCCCCCTTCTCTGTCCCCTTCTTCGACTTCGATCCCGCTAACTCTTGTCCCTTAACCTCGTTTTGTTTGACCCGGCGCGCCCCGCCCGGCGCTTTCTTGTCTTATTTTCTATCTGGCCGCACGGAACTTTCGCGATAAAAGCACCGAAACTCCTTTAACGGGTGCTAAATTGAAACACTGCTGCAATAAAAGGATACGGTACAGCGACCCCTTCTGCAAAGAGGCGTTCTTCGTTCGCTCGTTCTTGTTCGGACCTCACCTACGTCTTTACTCTCGAGCGAAAAGAGAACGAAGGGAGGAAGGAAGGGAGGGGGAGAGGGAAGGGAGAAGTTCTTCTTTCGAAACGGGGTGGGATAAAAATCACGGTAGAACGAATGACGGATTGCATCGTCGATGTAATCGTTTCAGCCGCGCTCGTTTGACGCCAGCGAACGTATCGATCTTGGTAATGAATATACGCTGTGGCGACAAATAACGAGAGAATGTGCCGATACACCGACACCACTGCGGCCCGACAATTTAGCAATCTATTTCAGCGTAACAAATGGATCGTATTAATTGTGCTTCCATAATATCCGGACGTTTAATACGTCCAGTTTTAATGGGGTATCGAATCTCACAATTTTAACCTCTTCTTACCTCCGCTTTCGCGGGCATCGAACACGCGGGACACGTTGTTTTCGGTGTAACTCGTCGACTCTTGATCACGGCGTAACGAAGAATTTTGCCAAATTTTGCAGAATTTTGGAACGAAATGAAGGTCGCGATAAGAAGAGCGGATGTGACGGAACGGCGACGAAATTCGCCGTTGCATCGCCGACGTCTCGGCAAATGAAATTCGAGGATTGTGATCCACCGTAAGATTCGTTGCATCGGAACCAAGCAGTAAGTTCTTTATAGAAACAAGTATGTATGTATGTATATACGCTGTGCGCAGCAGAAGCGCAAGCGCAACGAGGAGGGGAGAAAGAAATAAAAGAGACGATGGAATGTCCCGGTTGCGAAGTCTCGGCTTTGCCCAACTTTCTTTGGAGATAACATGAAAGGTACCGGAAGAGTGGCGTACTGAGACAGAAAATGAGAGAATGCTCGAGGAGCAGCAGAGGACAGAGTTAGAGGTGTTTGAGAAAGTTTGCAATTTCCTCGAGAAGAGGTGTGGGAGTGCTCCCATCTCGGCAAGCGTGCACACGTAATAGGGTAATTCCAAGAGTGCAGTTGCTCTCTATTATTCTTCGAGTATTCGTTGCGGATTTGCAAAACGACGCAGCGCGACGTTATAATCTGCTTGTCTCCGTTCCGCCCGGCAAGAAGCAATAATCCTAAATAATTCCATTTAATCAAAATGTTTATCCCGTCGCCGGGTGCCTACGTGACGCCGCAACGTGCGAATAATTGACATTTCGCCGATTATAGTTCTGCGAGCAATCTGTTCGTTACCTGCGATTACCATACGTAAATCCTCCGAACGCGAAGCAACGATGCGCTAGTTTTCCACACTGTGAAATATCTATCGGCCAAGTGTCACCGACAATCGGATTAAAATCGTTAAATCTTATGGCGACGTTACTTACGATTTTGCTATAAATCCGTCGAGTAAACAGCCTTGTGCATATTCGTGGAAAATGTACGTTTCTGCTGGCGCAAACATCACGCTGCACGCGACTGATGAACAAAGTAAAGTTAGTCTGGGGAAAGCAGTTTTGTCTTGCCGGCAATCTAACCCTGGCACCTTCGTCGACGCAAACGCTAGCTCGGAACAGCCTTTCTAGGCAAATTGCGTGACAAAATGCAAAGGAACGAGGGGGGAAGAAAGAAAATAATTTATCTGCAATCAAATGTGTATGCAGATGTTAAAAGACGACCAAGACTGAGAATAAAATTATCCTCGTGGGAAAGAGAAACGACTGTAGTGCTCGTAATGTGCCGTATCTTTCTCTTTTAATAATTGCTACAATTTTGTTGTAGAACTTCGTTCTATATTTCACTCATTTCGTATTACTCTTCATATTTACATTTTCTTTGATATGGGTATCATTAAATTACCCACGCCGTTTCTGAAAAGAAATGTATGAATAATAAATTAAGTGCGCGTGCCCTTCAGTATAATTACACTATTTAAAAGGTTCTGTAATTAAGCGGTACCGATAAAATTTTGTATTTATATTTCACGTTGAATATATTACTCGCGCGAGAGTTATGCAGTTTGTATAAACGTTCTGGAACAAATTAATTTCAATTAAAATTTGTTTCACCGCGGAAAAAGAAATTACAATTACAATCCTTGAAGGTACACAATTTTATATTAATAATATAGATTCACAAACAAATTACAAATAAGGGAAATGCGGTACAAGGCCTGTCTCAAAAATAACCGAAATTCTTACAAAAAAAGAATTAATGGTTTCCCAATTCTAAAAATTTTATGATATTTCGGTTATTTGAAGTTGAGTTTAAATTATCCTTCAAGTTTGATAAATAGTTTACCGAAATGTATTAAATGATACAAAAAGTGTATGATGATAATTGTTCACCGCGTACAGAAGTTTACGCGATTGGTTCAAACGGTTTGCAGCTTAAAATTAAAGATGACAATTGATGAAAGATCGATGAAAAAAACACGTAAAACAATGAATGTTCAATCAAAATCTTTTGCACGATTATTAAAGAATGAATTAAAATTAAAACAAATTAATCAAAACAAACGACGTGTCATCGTGAACTTGGGACCGTTTGTTACAATTTATTGTCATATGATAACGTACATCAAGCGTTTAAGCTTGATGCGGACGAACCGTTTATGAAAGACTCGAGAAGAAAAGGAAAGAAGATTGCTTTATATTTCTGTTATTCTAAAAAAATCGTCGTTGCGATTTTAAAACGTTATATCATTTACCGCATTCGTAATTTGCGATTACTTTTTTTATTTCTAAGGCCTGGTATAAACGAGCGATTTGCAATAAGTCGTTTTAGAAGAATATATTTATATAAAGCGGTTCGTACAAATGAAAAAAAAAAAAAAAAAATTGTCGTAACTTTCGTCGCGAATTTGCCTAGAACTGAAAGAAAAGTGCTATGAAAGACAAATGTTTTGCAGACAAATGTTTTGATAAGACATCAGACATTTAAAAGACTGTGACAGGTATTCTCAACGGTATTCCACAGAATGATATGAAAATGTCATTTGATGCATTAGATTGTACAAATTGTTGTATCGCTACAGAAGAAATGTACTTTGAATAAAGTAATGCATTCTTTCGCAAAAATGGCTTGTCTGTTATTATTTTTACAAAGTTGGGCTATTCTTCAGATATGCTTTGTATGTACATACACAGTAATGACATTTCATCATGGTTCTGTGTGAAGAAAATGAAGCACAGGGGAAACAATTCCAATCAATTGCACGATGCAATA